CCACATCTCCCTCCCCACTGATGGATCAAGGTCTGGGCTGCAGGAAGGATGAGCTGGATCCCGGGTTGTCCTTTCTGTAGGGAATGTCACACAGTAGCAGGTGACACAGGAACAGGTGACACAGGAGCAGCTTCCAGGCTTCCTGCTGCAGCTGGGCCAGCAATGAWCCAAAGGCTCAAGCCCCTGATGCTCAAACCAACCTTGCTGAACTCAGATTCCTGCCGCTGCTTCCATGGAAAGGAAGGGATAACGGGATGCTCTGTTCCTGGAAGGGTCCAAGGCCAGGCTGGATGGGACTTGGAGCACCCTGGGAGAGTGGAACATGTCCATGCTCAGGAAGGTCCTTCCAGCCCCAACCATTYCAGGATTCTGGATGATCCAGGGGAACAACTCCATCCTGCACAGGGGGCTCTGAACTGACCCCAGGCCCAGATCCCACCCCAAACACGCAAATCCTGCTGGAACAGACCCAGGTTTGAAGCCTCACCAGAGCCACCAGAACCACAAAGCCCCACACGGACAGACACCACAATCCCGGAGGAGAATTCCCCACCAGCAACTTTTTCCTTTTCTTTGCCACGACCCCCCTCAGCTGCCCCAAAAAGCCCCTTTGAGACGCCCCCAGGAGCRCAGCAGCATCTGGGCGGCTTTGAAGGCAGCAGTGGGTGAAAGGATTGTGCCAAACCCTTGGCACCGGCGGCCCCTGCCTTTTGCAGCCCCCACGGAACGGCGAGCGCCGCTGCCAAGGGCCATTCCCCGGCGAGCGCAGCGGCACCGCGGCCACAAAGGAGGTTGCCAAGGAGTCAAGTGTGGGATCCCTGCAGAGAGGAGGAGGCTGCAGCTGGGACGGCAAAGGTCAGAACATTGCAGACATCATTTTCCAAAAATTCCCATGAAGCCCCGGCGCGGGAGCCGGCCCCGCCGAGCTCGCCCAGGAATAATGAGCGAGGCAGGGAAGAAAGGGAGCTTTCTTCCCTCCKACCCACGCTAATGTAATCAAACAAATTAGAATAATTATCCCCCATCTCGGAGCCATCGTGCCCAGGATCGGGGTGCGCCTGTCACCGAGCTGACATCTACATCCGCTGGATCCTGCCACTTTCCCCCGCTGCCGCCTTTCGGGATCGCCCCAATTCTGGATTTTATTCGATTCCACCTCGTGAGGTTTTTACTGCAGGCATCCAGATTTTCTGTTTGCTTCAAAGCCTTCCTTATTTTTGCCAGAAAGTTCATCTCCCTTCTTAGCTAATCACAGCCCCACCCTTTCCAGTAACCTTTCGAATGCCACCCACGTCCTGACACTTCCAACGGGATCCGAGCGAAAACAAAACAGGGAACACCAGGAGTTTCACAKGAACCGCGAGGTTTTAGAAGGATTTGCTGCAGCGGGTTAAAAGAAATGTTTTCTAACAGCAGAGAAAATTCAAAACAGTTTCTAAACATATTAAATATCAAGAGATGGATAAATAACCTGGAATCGATCCTTTTTCTGTGAAAACACAGAAAGCTCTGAGAAAGATGGACAAATCCACAGGAAAAAAAAAGTGACAATTTAAAGGGGAAAAAAAAATCAGTTATTATAAATATTTTTATTTTTTTCCCCCAAGACTGTCACTGTAAATGATATTTTATCCTCCTGTAAAAAGGGGAAAACATCTCTTGTGTAGGTTTGAAACAGCAAAGGAYTGGAATTATTTTCTGAGTCTCCCTGCCAAAAAATGGTCCCAACTCCTCTGCGCTGCAGCAGCTTCCGAGGATGTACTCGAACAGCTCAAGGAGGCTGAACTTGGATTTGGAACAGAGGGGTCAGCTGGACACTCAGTAAGGGAAATCTGGGAAGTGGGAAAAAAAAAATGAAGAGAAATTTTGTTTACAGGAAGCAAAGCAAGGGGAGGGACGGCCAAGCCACAAATCCCAAGTGGGAAAGATGCTCTTGGGTTTCCCTAAATCACCCCTGAGCTCCTCAGAACCTTGTGCAGGGCATGGGGAGGAGCAAAGGGAGCAGCTCCTGGGAAGGGCTCTCCAAAATGTGGGGATAAGAGGGGGAAAAAACCCCCATCCTGAGCTCCTGTGACAGTTTGAGGGRCATCACATGGGGAAGATGTCAAGGGCACGGCACACGGAGCAGATGATTAAATAAAAATACACTTCTGCTCTAAACAATAGAATTATTACAGAACACACCTATTAAAGGATCTCATTCCAAGGTTTGGGATTGGGCTCGTGGCCCCAGGACCCATCTGGACACAGACCCCGGAGTCCTCCCAGCCCCAACACCTGCAGCAGCCAGCGAGAGATTGGCAGCTTTAAATCTGAATTTCCTTGCTTTGGGCACTTTTCAATTAAAGCGGTAATGCACTTTAAATCCCCTTTCCCTGGTTTTTCACTCGGCTCTTCAATCCTTTCCTGCAGAAACCAATCAAGATGTCTCAGACTCACTCACACTCCCTGCTCCAGCCACTTTCCATGCTAACTTGTTCCATATGGTCGGGATCCTCMAGGCTCAGCTCCACCTTCACTCCCTGTTTGCTTCCCCCTTTCCAAGGTGCTGTTGCACCAAAATTACCAAACCCAACATTTTGCACCTTCCAAGCCCCAAGATATCCCAATGACAGAGTACCCCAAACAAAACCACGCAGCCATCAAAGCTCTGAGCTATCCTGAGGGGAACCAGCCCTGCAAAAATGTGTTTGCATCGCTTCCAGCCTTCCAGAGCCCCTGCTCTGCTGCCTCGGCCGTTCCTGGGAAGCATCCGTCCTACATCCTGCCCTAATGGATTATTAGGAACATCAAACATATAGATTGGATCACGTAATTACGCCTTTTAGGAAGGCAGCAATATTTGAGCTCAGCCCAGCGCTTGCTGCCAATCAAACCCTGGTGGAGGTACCTGAGCTCCTCAGCTCCACCCCAACAGGGTGATCCCATTTCTCTGTCACCCCAAAATGAGCCCAGCCAGCTCCAGGGGAAAGGTGCACAATAAAGCAGGGGCTGGACGTGATTTCTGGGGGGAGGTTTAGCAGGGAAACAGCAAAACTCCCAAATCATAGAACAGTTTGTGCTGGAAGGGACCTCAAAGATCATCCCAACCCTTCCTGCAACTGCCTCCACCAGACCCGGTTTGCTCAATGCAAAGTCTCAGGCTGTCAGAGCTCAAACACAGAAAACACCCGAAAAAGATCCCAAATCCAAGACACTGACTGGAGGAAAAAGGGGCTGACAAGTGAAATCAGCCCCATAGTTCAGGAACCGACCCTGGAAAGCAGGAGAGCGATGGGATGAGAGCCTGGAGCCGTCACCCTGCAGAGCAGAGACCCCCTAGGTCACCCGAGGGACATTTCCAAGGTGTTCCCCCAACCCCCAGCACGAGCTGAGGATGGCCCAGCTGCCCCAGGGAATGCTGCTCGCTCAGAGGATTTCCCAAGAAAAGCCTCACCCCAGCCAGCTCCAAGAATCCCGGGAGAACCGTGCAGGGAAGCTGAAATTCCTGCGTCAAACAGAACCACCACCAATCCCACCCGGGGAAAACCCTTCAGCACATGCTCAGCTCTTGGCTGGAGCATCAGCAAACCCTGGGAGCACCGGGATTCCAGCAGGAAACCCTGGGAGCACCGGGATTCCAGCAGGAAACCCTGGGAGCACCGGGATTCCAGCAGGAAACCCTGGGAGCACCGGGATTCCAGCAGGATGCTTCTCATTCCCACACGACTGCACCTCCCGCTGCCAGCCAGTGCTGTATCCTGGGCCCAGGAGAAATCCTACACAAGTTTGTGCCCCAAAACATCAAAGATCCCATCAATCAATGCCTGTGGGGATCCCCATGGAATGGCCTCTCCATGTTCTCACCTCCCATGCCCATTAGGGATATTCAGTGTCCCAGCTGTGCAGGGACATGGCTATTCCTGAAAATATTTGGAATGTTATTGCTCTCCTGATGGAGCAGAGATAACAGCAACAGAGGTGTTTAGGAAGCACAGTTTTCCTCTATATCCAGCCTGTCCCATAATTCAGAATATCTGGGACACATCAGCAGGACCGAAGCTCAGTCAGATCCCAATTTCCACGGAAAGGATGCAAATTGGTGATCCTATCAAATTTTTAAGGAAATTTGGGGTGTTTCGCTACACTTGGTGCCATCAGCTGTCAATTCACTCAGTGAGCAGCATCATGAGAACCACAGAATCCCAGAGTCCCAGAATCCCAGAATGAGGATGGAAAACACTTCCAAGGTCATCAAGCCCCATCTGTGACCGACCCCTAACTTGTTCCCAGCCACCTTATGCCACATCCAGGCATTCCYTGAATCCAAGGAAGCATCAAGACCCCAGGATTCAYCTCCATCCCTCAGGGATGAAGGGTCTGTGCCAACATTCGGTCAAGACCCCTTTGGTGAAAAATGCCCCAAATGAAACCTGAAAGAAACCCCAAGCCAAAAAAAGCCACTCCAACAAAACCCAACCATTCCTGCGATGGCGATGATCCCGAGCTCCAAGTTTTGGGATGTTCTGAAACATCGGAGCAGACAGAGCTGACCAGAGAACGCCCCTGCCACACCTTTGTTTGAACGGGGATGTGCCAGTTCCTGACTGAGCTTGGGAATTCCCTCTGGCACTGGGACAGCTCTGCAGCAATTGTTCTGTCCAGAGCCACGGGGCAGAGAGTGACATCCCAAAAAACACTCCCAGAAAGGAAATCAGCTCTGGGGAAAGATGGGAATTACCCGCTGCATTCCAATGGTCTCACGGAAAAGCCACAACGCCCAACCTCCCTTTTCTTCCTTCACAAGAACCGCTCAAGGGCAGCACTGAACATCCCCAGGGAGAATTCCTGCTGCTTTTCCTCCTCCAAACACACACCTGGAGCCASCTGAAGGATCCTGCCAACCACAGGGAGGCTTTTCCTCGGAACTGGGAAAACTCCTCAACCAGTGGATTCTGAGGTGGTGGATTGGGGCAATTTCCAGCTGGGATGGGACATTCAGAACACAAATTCCCACTCACCGCTCCGAGCATGATCCTGAAAATCAGCCAGCGGAAAGCCCAGATGACAATTCTGGAAGGAGGAGAGCCCTGGGGAAGGCGGGACAGGCTCCAGAGTGGGCAGAGGAATATTCCCAGGAATCCTGTCTCCAGGAGCTGYGATTCCCAACCTGCAGTGCCAACAAGAAGGGGAAAAGGAAATCATTATTGTACAAGTGCTGGAAGTTATCCTGGAGTTAACTCAAGATGCTTAAGGATTAAAAAAAAAAAAAAACTTTTCATGCTTTTTAAGGTTGATTTGGGGGAAATGAGGCCTTGGGATCCCACCATGAACTGCTCCMTGGATGCTTTGGAGCAGCCAGGCTTCACCTGAGCCATCCAAATCTGTATTTTGCATTTTCTCCTCCAGCCCAGCCCAGCCTGTAAATATTGGAATGATTATCCCAGAAGAGGCAGAACACACGGCTCTGTTTGGACAAGAGAAAACCAACCCCCACCACTTTTGGAAGCACCAATTTATTTCTGCCAAAATGAAATTGCTCCAGCTTTTCCCGCCCCCAATCATGCTGATCCTCAAATATTTCTGTATGATACAATTGCACTCTGAAACCATTAAAAAAAAAAACAGATATTAAATTGGTGAGGAGAATTCCTAAAGATTCCTTCTTAGAGCCAATTAAGGCACTGATATTCCCAGCTACAGAAATTAAACTGGGCAGTGTCCACAGCTCCTATTCCTTCCCAAAGGTTCTCCAGGCACTTCACCAGTTTGATCCATAACAATTCCCTTTGCCCAGACACGCAGGGAAACACACTTCAAACCCATTCCAAATCCATTCCAACCCATTCCAACCCATTTCAACCTATTCCAACCCATTTCAACCCATTCCAACCCATTTCAAACACATTCCAATCCATTCCAATCCATTCCAACCCGCTCCAACCCCATTCCAACCCATTTCAAACACATTCCAACCCATTCCAATCCATTAAAACCCACTACAACCCCATTCCAACTCATTCCAAACCCATTCGAATCCCATTCCAACCCACTCCAACCCCATTCCAATCCATTCCAACCCATTCCAAACCCACCCATACCTTCCAGCTCCAGCCTGACCCCCTGATCCCCCACCCCAAGATTCTTCCAGCCCCTGATTTTGTGTTGTCACACAGGCAAAGCCATGTTGAATTTGCTTTAAATATTCTCAAAAACAAGCCACAAAACCTTAATATGCACAAAGCCCCTTAAATGAAAATGGAATTTTTAAAAACTCATATTATTATACATCAAACCATCAGAAACTTCCCCTTCTCCCTGCACACATCCCATGGTTTCCAGCACAGCCCCCCCAAATCGCCCAAATTAATGTTTCTGGGAGGAAAAGTGAGGAATATTGTCCCAAAAGCAGCTGCAGCGGGAAAGCACCGGCTCATCCCAAAAGTGAAAGGTTAATTGTGCCTGAACCCAGCTCTGGGGCTGGCTGGCACCAAAAGGGGTCGTAGATCTCCCTGCACAAGAATCCCACTGTTATCCCTGTTTTCATATGGAAATCACCAGCCCTGCGTGGGGATGGGCATCGGGGCAGGATCCAAACATCCCTGAGCATCCATTCCCCTTGAGAGCGGCACTGCCCTCACCCAGCAGGGCACACCAGGGGTTCATCCTGCTTTATTCTGAACCCCAAATCCTAGGAAGGCAGAGGGAAGGGGTGCAGGAGGACAGAGCGATCCCGCAGGACAATTCCTGCCCATCCYGGAGCTCCAGCAGGATGCTCCCAGCACCCATGGGGCCCGAGCCAAGCCGAAGCCTTCCCGGCACAGCCAGACCTGCCTGGGTCATGAGTTCAGCCTGGAACCTGTGCTTTTATCTCAAAGAAATGSGCTGGAATCCTGGCAGCACCYGGCAGCATCCGATGGGAGCCGTGCRGGGYWGGKCTGGGAGCRAAYAGTGCTGGGAGGGAGCTCCGGCATTCCTGGCTGCTCCGGCATTCCCGGCTGCTCCAGCAGGGCTGGACTGCCAGGGTAAGCAAGGACCAGCTCCAGACACAGCCCAGGGCATGAGCCTGGGCCCAACATTCCCCCAGCTCAGGGTTAAATCTGACCCAGCTCTGGCTGCTCCATGACTGGTGTGCGGAGCTGTGCTCTGACCCCAGGGACGGCACAAGGTCCTGCYAAACCCGGGTGTGTGGGAAGAAAAGCTTGGAGAGACTCTGGTTCATTCCACGCCCTCTTCCCAAGGGATGGAGCATTCCCAGCTGCCCATGTGGGATCAGTTTTGTGGGATACATCACCCACTGAGGTCACCAGCAGGAGCTCCTTCCCAGTCTCCATCCATCCGTCCATCCCTCCGTCCATCCCTCCGTCCATCCATCCATCCATCCATCCATCCGTCCATCCGTCCGTCCGTCCGTCCGTCCGTCCGTCCATCCATCCGTCCATCCGTCCGTCCGTCCGTCCATCCGTCCATCCGTCCGTCCATCCCTGTCCATCCCTCCATCCATCCGTCTGTCCATCCATCCCTCTACCCCAAGCAGCTCCTTGCCCTGGACCTTTCCTGGCTGCAGCGTTCCCTCTCCCCTTCTCCATCAGCACAGAATCATGGAGCAAAGATCTGCCGGCAGCGATGCCGGTTGTCACCTCCAACAACATTCCCCAATCCTGGCGTTTCGGGGGTGAAACCTATTCCATGGAATTCCAATTCCAGCCCATTAGGGCTCTCTCCAAGAGCCAATTCCATCCTCCAAGCCCCAACCAACCCATCCTCAGTGCCGAGCTCCATCCTGGGGCTCGCTGATCCTGCTGGGAACGAAAGGGTCACGTTGTTGACCCACCTGCTCCTGTTTTCCTCACTTGGATCTCGTCAAATTTCAGCAGCTGCAGGGCAGCACAAAGCCCCCCATTGTTATCTCTGGCACAGCCGGAGAGGGAGCCACGGGCTGGGTTTTTTTGGGCAGAAAAAAAAGAGGGAATAAAATCGACTGCCAATGGTGGCTGCGCTCGCCCCACACGCGCTCCGAGGGTTTGGGGCGCGCTCAGAACCTGATGTGGCAAAATTCAGGGTTTGGCATTTTCCAGAGCTCTCTGCTGGGGTAAGGGAGGAGGAGGAGCGGGAGGATGTGCCGGAGGGAGCAAACCCAAAACCTAAACACACTTTCCCATTTTCCTTTTAGGGTTTTCAAGCGTTACTCCTCTTTAAAACACTCCAACCCCTCACACAGTGTAGGGTTTGGGTTCATGCAAGGGACCTCCAATTTTCCTCTTCATTATTTATCATCAGATTTATCACCCCAAGATGATAAGTTTTTATCCCAGATTTTTATCCCAGCCTGGCCATGGCTATAGAGGAGTCAGCACAGYCCCTTTCCCCAGTCTCCACATCCCAAACCAGTCTGTTGTTCCCATGGACAACCAGGGAGAAAGCAGCAAAGAAAAGAACGGCTGAAAGCCTTCAGGAAAAGATAAAAATTAGGTGCAGAGRTAATAAAGTTTCTTATTTTCTGGTTTTCTGATTTTAAAAAAAAATCACCTGGCTAGAATCATCCCCAGTCCCTGTCTATGCTGGAAACAGCCCATGGGATTAATTTGCATTAATTCCCTTTCCTAAAATACAGAATGAGGTGAGAACAGCCAATTGTCTCTGTTTGCACAAAAATATCAGAAATATCAGGCTCGCAGAGAGCACAGACAAATGCTGCTCCACCAGATCCCGATTTTCCAGCTCCCGGTGCAGCTGTCTCCCGATGGATATTGTGTCAGGCAGCCCAGCAGCCCAGGGCAGGCAGATATCCCACCCAGAGTGATTTTCCCTGGAATCAGACCTGCTCCTGAGCCCACCTCCCCAAGATCCAGCGTGGTTTGAGTTCAGCTGGAGCGTTAAAGCACCTGTTGGAAACATCTGAGCTGCGCTGGGGACGGCGGGATATCCTGGCAGGGGAGTTTTGGTGGGATTTTGGGAAAAGGTTCTTTGCCCCCTGAGGGTGCTGGGCACTGGAACAGCTCCCCAGGGAACGGGCACGGCCCCGAAGCTGCCAGAGCTCCAGGACCCCGCTCCCAGGGATGCCCAGGGTGGGATTTTTGGGGGTCTGTGCAGGGCAGGAGCTGGATTCGTGATCCCTGTGGGTCACTGCAGCTTCCATCCCTCACGGCAGCGAAGGAAAACAAAGCTCCAAACCAGGCCTGAAAGAGCTGCCTGGAAAAGGCATCCCCAGCCAGTGAAAACCCCAGAAATTCCCGAAATCCTGCTCGTGCCAGCTCATCACAAACACCTCGTTTCTCTCCAGTGGGGAATGCTGGTCCAACTCAACCCCAGTGCAGAATTTCCCCAATTCCAGCTGGGTTGGGCTTTCCCAGTTCCCACCTGCTGGAATGTGCTGTTTTTTTCTCTCTGCTGCCTGGGGCAGAGGGCTCTTCCTCCAGCTCTGGCTTTTCCCATTTTCCCAGTCATTTTCCCTTTTTCAGAAGCACAACAACCCTCTCAGAGGGATGGGGCTCTCTCCTTCCCCTCCCCAGCTTCCCAGAATCAATAGGAACAGAGGCACAAAGCCCTACAAGGAACACTCCAGTTCCTGTTGAGTTTCCCAAGTTTCCCTCTATGGGCAGGATTTGGGGTGATTTCCAATGAAATACTAAAAACCCCAAACTGCAAACATCAACCCCCTGTCCATAACATCAGAGAGCAGCTCTGAACCACCCACAGGCAGAGCACAGTGCAGGGATTAACATCGAAATAATTTCTGTTTTGCAGTCAGTGGGAAAGCAAAGCCCAGGAACTGGCACCACACACCCAGAGCATGGCAAAGCTCCCTTTTCAGCCAAAATGAAGCAGAAAGTTCCAACTTTATAACCTGAGAACACTGCAGAGCATCGAGAAGGATTCGTTTTGAGGTCACCTCCAWAAAATCTCCCAAAATCCTGAGATGCTGCTCTGAGGAGCAGAGCGGAACGAGGGCAGAGAAAGGGAAAATGATAAAAAAGATCCCTGAGGAACAGACAGCAAGAGAAGCCCGTGATTTATTGCTTCTCATTCAGTGGTGCCCCTCCTCTCTAGACCCCAGAACAAAGGGATTCCCCTCCTGAGACATTGGCCCCTCAGGGTCTTGGAGCTTTTTGGGCCTCTGAAAGCCCAAACTTGGAATACCCTTTGGCACCGAGTCCTGGGCAGAGCTGGCAACCCCAGCCCTCCACCACATCCCTGAAAACGCCAAGATCTGATCCCACAGATTCCCAAAACCACCTTCAAACCCCACCATTCAATATTTCCCATTCCTTGTTCACCAAAGTTTCCTCAGACTGGGGACACCTGACATTTCCACAGCCACCAGAAAAGTTCTGGCTGTTGTTGGAAGTTTTTAGGAGAACAGTTTTGCAGGAACTTTTGTTCTTAAAGTATAAACTACCCAGAGGGAAAAGAAAAAAAAAATTTAGCATAAAAACTTTTAAAAGCTTCCAAGTGCTCTCCAGGGTAGTCATTAGGAACYACTTAGGTAACAGGAGGGTGATAACAGGGAGTTAATGCAGCGTTAAATTAGCCCTCCTTCCATGCAGAACTTTAAGTGACAGAGGAATCAGTTGGGAGGATTTTTATTTTATTTTTTAAATAATGAACTTAATGGATTTCCTGTTTTTAGCTCTGTGGGCGGCTGTCAGCTTGAGGGATCTGTACATACTGTATTTAATTACTCTGTCTTCCAGCAAGGAAAATAAGTTCAGCCCGTTCCTGTGAACTCTGGGGACAYCAGGAACTCTCCWGCTTGGCCACGAGGGGAGGAGAAGKTGCCCACACCGGTCAGGGAGGGTGAGATGTCCCTGGAGATGGGAAACTGAACTCCCTGTGCTCCTGCTGCCCAGAGAATTTGTGGCTGCTCCATYCCTGGAAGTGTCCAAGGCCAGGWTAGATGGACTTGGAGCAACCTGGGATCATGGATATTGTTCCAGGGGCTGGAACTGGATGGGCTTTAAGGYTCCTTCCAATCCAAACCATTCCAGGAGTCTCAGCATCTCAGCCATCCCYGAAAATCCTCCCAGGGCCAAGGACTGGAGCCTCAAATCCCARGGAGGGAGAGGAACAGGCACCAGGAATGGATCCGAACCTGAGGA